TCTCTCTCTCTCTCTCTCTCTCTCTCTCTCTTCATTTCATTTCATTACATATACTGTGTATTTATTATAACATTTAAATATTAATTTCATTTTAATGACGTATTGTTAGAAAAGTTTTATTGTATTATTTTTATTATATATTTTTGTTGCAAACATATTAAAAGAAATGTTGTTTTTGTTGTAATATTAAATAGTTTTGTTGCGAATTCATAATATGTGTGCAATTCTGTGATCAATCATTGAGATTGAATTCGTGAGTGTTTTTACAAATTGAAATCACTTTTCAATTTTCATTGAATTTTTAAGTGATCTGTACTTATGTTTTATAATTTAAAACAACAAAATATAAATACTTTATCTCTTTTTATAAAGTTTTTTATTAATAAATTGAAAGAAACAAATCAAAAAAAGGTTTACTATATTATTGCTTAAACTAAAGCATAAGACTCTTTAACGACAAAACCATAAAAAGCAATTCTGACGTCTATTTACAAGTTTTATATTTTTGAAAAATAAAATTTTTATTTTGATAAAAACATCATTGATTTCAAATCATTTACTAAATAACAAAATTTCGACAATTAATATAATTGTTATTAAGTTTATAAATTGCATATTAAGTTAACGACACAAATATTGTTTGAAATCTAGGACTATTGATTAGAAAACTGAATAATATTGCATTAATTATAATAAAAGTTAGTTTTTTTGTGAATAAAATTATTTGCAAAATATTTTACATATTGACAAAAATCCAATTAATTGTGTTATAAAATCTATTGTTTATTACAAAATATAAGTTCACGTAATAATGATTTTCAATGTATTCAACACATAATTGAACCCAAAATTTTAGTTCAAGTTTGTACAGAATATATAGGATATCAATCATAGATAATAACAATAATTACCATTAAGTTCTCCTAATCCGTGTATCAATTCTGGTATAAAAGAGTTAAAAATTACCTAAACTTATGAATAAAATATATTCTTGGATTCAAAATTACACGAATATTTTCCACTTGTTATATGGCGTTAGTAAAGTGTTGTACTGTATGTTAAGCATAGAGTTATACAAATTCATTGCTAAATTTTTGATAATTCATTGAACAATACTGTTTACAAAGAGTTATAATTACTGATTACTGACTGTTAAGTAATGTTTAATATCAAAGTCAAATCAATGAGAATTAAGTTATTATTATAATTATAATAATATAACGAGAAAACAAATGAAAACACATTTCAAAACAATTCACAAAACAACGCAAATTAGTCAGAATTTGTTATCAAATCAATGATAATATAGTGAAGAAATACTGTCAATGAAATAACTGATGATTTGATTAACTCATATAAAGTAAAAAATGAGTAAAATTTTCCTTAATCTTTGATTAGATCTTTCATCTTATATTCAAATTCATAATAAACTTCTTATAATAATAATTGCATTGAAGAAAACAATCAATGCTTTAAATGATTGATTACTTCAATGCAATAGAAAGACTTCATTTAAAACAAACATTAATTTTATAACTTATAAATAAGATTAAGATATAAAATATAATACGAAAAATGCATTTAAAGTGTATAAAGACGTGAAGACTATTCATTAGACATTATCCTTGGCTTCGGATTAGTATTTAATATAAAGATATTAATAAATAATCACTTTTAGATGAATATAGAAATTAATTAATTAGAAATCAATTACTTTTCTCCAAAACTACTTATGGCAGTGATTTGAATGATGCAAATCATTGACATTGAATTCACTGTATAAGTGGTCTTCAAAAAAGTGTTCATTTTTATCTTCAATCACATTATGTTTGACTTTAGATTTTTCCAATCATTTAAAATATTTAATATGTTTTTCTAATTAAATTTATTATTATTATTATTACAAAATATGATTTATAAAAATACTGATTTAAATTCTCAAGCGATGGTAATTTTGAAATTATCGATAAAATATTTTAAAGTTAAATAAGTTTTTAAATATTTACACAGTTTTGTGGAGTGTGTTATTACGAGAAAAGCTGAGTATTTACTGTGAGGACAATTGTCTACTATTTGTATTTTATTTAACGTTATTTAACACTCATTTCAATGAAACACAATACAAATGTACAAATTATAGCAATGAATTGTTAATTAAACCTTTTTATGTATTTATAAATTTAGGAAAACTTAAACAAATAGCGAAATTCCAGATATTATACACAAATACATAATTTTGAATACATTTAACTTTTTAATTTAATAACAAAAATATAATAGATCGTAAATTAATAGACTGTCATATTTAAATTATATATATTATATAAATATAAAACAGCAGTAAACTTACTGTTAAGTTATTAAAGCAATCTTTAAATTAATTAACTCGTAATCCTAATCATTGAAGTTATATCTTAATTACGGTAATTCATAAAATTTTTAAAATTTGTTAATGAGTTAAATATTCAATAGTAAGTGTAGTATAATATAAATATAAACATTAATAACATTAGGGGTATTTTGAATACAATAATGGGACAAACATTACATCATAAGCAAAGGAATGCAATTCTTATAAATTACTATTAGTTAGTATTTGAGTTAATTTAAAGCCAATTTTGGGCATTTCATCGCTAATCAATCATTTCTAATAACAACAATTAATGCCTTAATGTAGAGATAAATGTATAAAGATAACAAATATATTATTACACACATTATAAATAACATGATTTTTACAACACTTAACATAACTAATTAGTTATAGTAAAAAAAGCAAATTCACTGCTAATAAAACGTTTAACATTGTTGTAAAGTATTGGGGTTTTCCACCAATATCATTTTATACGGTATATTATTAGTCATGATTTTAATTGTAAATATAAATATAAAATTAATTATATATTTAAATACAATATATACTTTACATTGTCGAGTTTATTTCCGTTTCATTATCTATTATTAATATTATCATACATTTAGTGCATATAAAGTATTCACTTAATGCTAGAATATATTGTAATAACGAGTTATTTCAATGAATTGAATCTCTCCATTATATAATACCATTTTTATGATACAATATAATAACCAATTATTAATCATAGATATTGCGGTAAATTTACCAAAAAAATCCCAAAAACATCATTGAATTCATGATAAAAAATATAAATATTTCTTTTGTATAAAAAATTCAAATTAATAATTAGTGAACATATTTCAAAATACAGTAATCTGTTTGTCGTATAAAATATTAATTATATTTAAGTAATAAAATTATCATTAATTTTCGTTTCAAAAGTAAAAATAAAAATTTTGATGATGATATAATTTTTTATTGCGTTATACTGTGTTAAATATAACGTGCTTGGGCAAAAATAAACATTAAAATTGCCATTACAAATTAAATTTTTTATACATGTAGGTACTTTTAAGTAACATCAAAATTAATATAGTGAGCCTTACACTTGGAAGCGTCAAATGAATTTTTTATTTTATTGCATTTAGTTTAATGTTTTAAATCATTTTTATGTAATAAATGTAATAAAATATTAAATTAAATATTTATTAACAAATTTTCAATTTAATAATTTTCTTTATCAAAAAGTAAATCCAATATCAAATCATTTGTCATTTTCACAAATATTATATACAACCATATATTTGCAGTTGTTTTACACACATCTTGTGTTTAAATCTAAGAAATAAAAGACAATTAATTATCTGATAAATGAGTAGAAGATGTTGTTTGAAGAGTCCATAAGACCTCCTCTACCATAGCATAGACTCAATAGACCCTAACATTCCTTTCATAATAAATAGCAAAACAATATAACATTAGAACCAAAATTGCTATTTATTATGAAAATATATCGGTTTTTAGGTCACAATTAGTAATAGTGTTTAATATGTGAGTAAATACTGTATTCACTTATAGTTTGTCTTCAAATACAAATATTTATGAAAAGCAATGAATTAATTAAATAATAGAAATACAAAACACTAGTTATTAAAGAAAAATGATTTTTTCGTAGAATTAAACTGAACTAAAAGTTAGGAAATAAGTTATTATGAAAACAAAACTCTAATCAACTATTAATGAGAGATTGAAATAATAAAATACAGAACGGCCCCGAATTTGGCACACGCGATTTTAGCATTTTTCGATTTTAGCATAAGGTTATCTTAGCACCGGCGAGCCCTATGCATACTGTAATGTTAAATGTATCCGATTTTAGCATTTTCGATTTTGGCAGATTTCGATTTTAGCACTGCTTTTTCACTGTCAGTACAGCATAATCTATGCTTCGATTTTAGCACATTTGTGTAATTTTGAGTATGAATGTTGGCATATAAGCGGAGAATGAATTTCATTTTTGAAACAAAATACAAAATTGTTAAATTCATTAACAAAAAAGTGAATTATAATGATAATATGCCACAATTTAATGATTAGGGCATAACTTCAAACAAAATTTTGAAAATTAAGTCCCAAAGAGTATATTAAATCTCAAAAATGTGATTTGTTACAAATTTTCTTATTTTCGATTTTGGCAGAACTCGATTTTATCACATATTTTTTACAGCACCAATGAAATGCCAAATTCGGGGCCGTTCTGTACGAGATAAAACTTCACATGTTTTAAACAAAAAATTATTATATTATGGAAGTAATCATAACTTAATTAAAACAACAAAATCATTAAAAAATAAATAACTTTTTTCTTCTCAAATATTTGTTTAATGAATAATTAGGTGATAAAACTTTTCAGACAAAACGCTGTTTTAATAAAAATATTTTATTTGATATAAAATAAAAGGGAAAATAATAATTGAAATCCAGTTTTCTTTCGGTTTAAATTCAAAAGTGATGTGAAATATAAGAAATTTTGTTTTAATAAAACATTTTCTATTAAAATATGGTAAACAAGGAAAAAATGCATTTAAAACAAAACAAGCATTCATTACACCAATAATTCTGTAACTAATTATTAATAACGTTATATAACTTATTATAATATAAAATATTCATTTATTTCTCTTTGTATTTCATTTTGTAAAACAAATAATAAAACAAAAGATTTATATAAAAAATTTGTTATTGTTTTGATGTAAAAAATCCGCACAAAATAACAATTCAATTGCGATATAAATAATTTAAATTAATTTCCATTAGAATTAAAATAACAATTATTTAAATGAATTAATTTAATCATTAAAATAAATGACTGAATATTTGTATTAATATTAAATCGACAAAAAAGAGAGGAAAGGAAGTGATATATAATTATTGTTTGCAATTAATTTCATAATAACTACTAATTATCAGCAAAAGAGGCCAAACGCAGGCGAGGAGGAGGTCTTAATCGACACAAACATTGATCCAATCGTCGACCATATCATTGATGTGTTTGTTATTCCAATCCAATCGGATGTCATCCAAATGGTTGTCGAAGTCAATCAGATTGAAGTGCATCTGATTCTTGAACACAAACTCCTGGACAGCGTTGAAGGCTTGGGAGGGGTTCTCGAACCGGTGTCCGCCGCTCTTCGACCGCCACTTCTGGTCATTCATGTGATAGACAGTGAGCGCGGAGTCGATCTCGTTTTGGTCGTCCAACGCTTGCGCTAAACCGATGTTATTAACCATCACTACAACTGATTCGCTGTTGTTTTCCAACAACTTTTCGCCCAATCGTTGCGCGAAGACATTCGGCGTCGAGTCGAAGAAGTATTTGTTCGCCTGATATATACCACCGATGGAGACATCGCTCGACTTGTAATAGTTTGAGATCTGCTTTTAATGAGACAATAAACGAGTCATACATTAGTAATGGTAATCACACAAAGATGAGGGACACGTGTGAGTGTATGTCTGTCAGTGTGTGGGATGTGTTGACAGTGACCTGAATGAGAGCCGTCTCCAAGACGTGAGTCAATCCGTGTCCGGAATGGATGAGAGGAATGGCGTCGAAGAACTCGACGTAAGACTGATTAGTGGACGCCTTCTTCCGCTTTGTGGTCAGAAGTAGACCACAAACTGTTGAGTGCGGATATTTGAGTGCATGCATACACATCTTCACGTATGCCCTCGTCTTCACCACCACTTCCATCGCAGACAACCACAAGATTATTCACGACAAACGGTTCCCAAAGCGGTGATCGACAACTCAAACGGCAACTCAATTAGTGGTCACAAAACTCAATGAACGGATCCCACAATCAAACGCTTTGAGGTTTCTGTCGCCGATCAATGAGTAGACAATTGTTTTGCTCTTTGTTTGTGTTCGCGTTTTGCGTTTGTTTTGCGCTATAATTGTCAACAAATGTTTCGCACGTTTTGTACGACTCGTTAAAAGGCAAATAAATGGGCAAAACATAAATGACGTCCAGAATTGACGAATGAAACCGAAAGTGAATGAATTGAACGCAAGAATCGGTGAATACATGAGTCAAAGACATGGATCTACTGGTGATGTGTAGTGTTTGCCACCGATATATCCAAGCGATGGCCGGACGCGGTCTGGGAAGTGATGTCTGAATATTTGCACACAATTTAATCAATAAAATACTCATATCTTATAAGAAAATTAAAACTTTTTAATGAATTAATAAATGTATTGTTAAATGAAATGACAAAATATCTGATAATATAAGTTATTTTTGACTCTAATTATAATATAATCATTAGATTTATTCTAAATATTAAATTACGAAATACTCTCTAAATAGTCATTACATTGAATGCATAGTTGAAGTGAATCTATGATTACATTTAATAGTTATTTAATTGTCTATTAAATTCTTGTATACTATAAAACAATTTCAATAAAGTTTACAACAAATTAAATTAAATAATGTATAATCTATAATAAATTTCTAAACAAATACAAGTTACAATTTAAAATTTAATTAAATTGAAAATTAGCAATGAAATCATTAAATATCAATTATGCTAAAATAAAACCAATGTTAAGTCTTGTTTGTGTCAAATTAAATTAATTGTTAAGATAAAATAAACTAGTTAATACCATGTTGCAAGATTTAATGAATACATTATAAGACTATAAGTAACTTGATTAATTGTTCTTGGGATATAGTGTATAGTTAGTGTCCGTAATTTATAATGTATAAATATTTGTAGTTTTAAGGCATTTTCAAACAATTATAGTTTTGTTGGGAAAACAATCAGAATATTTAATCAATTCTTTACATTTGGCATCAAATTTATACATCCATTGAAAATATTGTTATTTAAAAATATATTATATATTTCGGACACTATATGTATAGCAAATTCCCATTATATCTATTCCTTAATAATTAATGTCTAGTAATTTAAGGCATTTTTAATACTCTAATATTTATGCGTAACTATAAATTGTATTTGTTTTTACGCTAAATATTATAATTATTTTCTCAATTAAGGCTAATTCTGACAATTTGTAAATGTTTGTAATCTAAAACATTGGTTAATTTTTATATCATTAATTATTATTATTTAAATCTAAATGTTTTGTATATTAAATATTTTTAAACTAGATTGATAAAATATTAAATTTTTATCAACAAGACTCTGTCGTGTACTAAGTTAGTAGTTATTCAACTAAAATTTAAACCAATGCAATATTAATGTAATATTAATACATATTATATTCCATTAAGAATTATTTATTAATTTTCTAAAAAAAATGTTGTGCTATAAAACCAAACATCAATTTTAAGTATAAATTTATAAATTATTAAAATAATAATTTAGACGATAATAAAACTAAAACTTTTCTAAAAACACAGAATTATGGGAATAAATGTAAGATCTAAGAGAAAAATTTGTGAGTTTAAGACATTGGAGTATTGTTTGTGAATTATTTATGGTTTGAACAGATTTCTAGCTTAAGGCATTTTTAATACTCTAATATTTATGCGTAACTATAAATTGTATTTGTTTTTACGCTAAATATTATAATTATTTTCTCAATTAAGGCTAATTCTGACAATTTGTAAATAGTTGTAATCTAAAACATTGGTTAATTTTTATATTGGTTGTATCATTAATAATTATTATTTAAATCTAATTGTTTTGTATATTAAATATTGTTAAACTAGATTGATAAAATATTTAATTTTTATCAACAAGACTCTGTCGTGTACTAAGTTAGTAGTTATTCAACTAAAATTTAAACCAATGTAATATTAATACATGTTATATTCCATTAAGAATTATTTATTAATTTTCTAAAAAAATGTTGTGCTATAAAATCAAACATTAATTTTAAGTATAAATTTATAAATTATTAAAATAATAATTTAGACGATAATAAAAGTAAAACTTTTCTAAAAACACAGAATTATGGGAATAAATGTAAGATCTAAGAGAAAAATTTGTGAGTTTAAGACATTGGAGTATTGTTTGTGAATTATTTATGGTTTGAACAGATTTCTAGCTTATAGTGAAGTTTTCTAGTCATAAGATTATAGTCTTTAAACAAAAGGAAAGACTAAGTGTTTGAGAGGAGAACAAAGTCAGAAAAGATAAATCGTTGGACCAATACTTGTCTAATGTATGAAAAGTGCTTTTATATGGCTATAGACTATAGAAAGGTCTAAATTTATAACACAACCATCAAAATTGGATTTGTTTTTAATGATAAATTAGTTATTGTTCACTAATGTCTCCCCTCTTCTCCATCTGTATCATAAGCTTAGCGATCATTGGTTTACTTATTGATTATCGTCTCAATGTCTTAAATTTTGATAATCGATAACAAAAACATAATATTATTGCTAAAAGAATTAAACATAATATTGATGTAAAGAATATCTATATAATGAATCTATGGGTCGATTGACACCAAAAATATTTTGTCTATCAAAAAGAGACATTAAAAACACAACCATTGAATGCATTTCATTTAACTAAAGTCTTGTTTAAAAGCTAACAAACTTTATTTGAAATAACAATTCATTAACGTTTCGTAAATCTATTTAAAAATACATTTTTTCAAATATTATATCGTTTTTGTATTTTTAAGAATCAAATCTCAAATTCATGAGTAAAGGCACAAATGCACCCATTTTTCAAATGATGACAATATTTGGTGTGATTTTCTCATTCTTTGATACATTTTATATGAAGTATTGAAAAATTCTTTATAAAACTTTTCAGAGAAGATACCATTTGACAAATATATTGTCAAATTTACTTGTATATGATTGCGAAATCATCATCATGATCAATTTCAGACTCTCGTCTAAAATAAATTCTTTGTTAGCAACAAAATAAATGACTTTCTTTTGTACAAAACAACAAAAGTCAAAGTGTTTTGTTCTCTCTGAGCAAAGTTGTGGTCAATTTTCTGGGAACGTGTGGCGAACGCCTATAACTGGTGCCCAATTGAGGACTTCCAGCCGGTGATCCTCGTGACGGCCCGACCGGAGTAGAGGTTCCGCTCCGCGCACTTGCAGTCAATGAATTGTCGCACATTTCCGGTGAATTCAATACATTGTGATGCGAACGGATTAAACGCCGCACCTTTGAGTTAACACAAATGCAAATTATTATTTTAAATTCATTTAATGTTTTTGTAATATTAATTTAAAAGTATAAATGATAAGATATTAATGCATTTAAACCTAGATTTAGCTTATAGAGTAGTTGTTATGACTTTATTGTAGAGAATAATCTCCTTTATTACAGACAATGTATTGAATATTTAAACATTAAGGAGTGGATGTGTTTTAAAAATCAGTGTTTTATGAAATATAAAACAGGAGAAGCACTTCAATAATGTTCACTTCATGTGCTATAAAATATAATACACTCTTAAAGAATACCCAATGATTTCTTAATCAGATTTGTCTGTACTTTCAAAATACTTGCGGTAAGTATTAGTCTCTAAATCATATGCCGTCATGTGTTCAATAATTCAAATTTAAAATATTTATAAAATAATCCAATTGTTTGAAACAATACAAGAAAAATCACATAAGAGTAGAGATATATAAATAAATAGTTACCTCTTCTTCATCTTCAGGAAGAAATAATTTTTGTGAAAATTTTGTATTCAAACGCTTTCTTTCCTAAAAATAAAATCATTCAAATATTATTTATTAAAATTAATATTTTATTTAATCAATTATTAATAAACAAATATTTTCTTAAGTAATGTATAATTTACTTTTACTAATGAGTAAAATAAGAAAAATTGTTTTAATTAATGATTGAATTTTGTAATTGAATTAAAATGCTTTACGTGTTGTGTAAATGTTTTTTCACATCTAATTTAAATCTATCGCTTTGATTGTCTGTCAAATTATAGGAATAGTTAAATTAATTTCTCATTAAGTAATTGTTTTCATCGATCATTTCGTTGGCAAAAGAAAATGTTTGACAAATCAAATGGTTTTGCGATTAAGTTCTCGTTTTTTAGAAACCATTAGTTCAACAAATAATAGCAAACATCGCAAACATCGACGCATTTCTGCACACTATTAGTCTAACAATGCATTTACTATTAATACAAAATTATATATAAAATAAAATAAGTTACAGAAACGCCAAATATTATAATAATAATATCATTTGCTCTAAATTTCATATGCAATGTAAACTGAATTATTAATATTTGTTACAAAATTATTAATCATAAAAATTATAACACAAAATGAATATTATAGTGAATATGCTATTAAATTATGAGAGAGAGAGAGAGAGAGAGAGAGAGAGAGACTAACAGTTTTGAGTTTTCTGAGTTCAAATTCTTCTAATTGTCGTTGGAATCCATAGTTAGGCGAAGATATACTTCTGGCGCCTCTGATTGCTTCGAGTGCTTCCTTGCAATTCAAAGACGTGACCGACCTTTTCATACATGTATGCAAAACATTAGTTCACACTTTTATTATACATTTTACATAATTATTAATGCATTCACGCTATGTATAAACCAACTCACATGAGATAAGCCACAGCTATTGTAACACTTCTTGAGACTCCCGCCAGACTATAGGTATAAACAAATAATTAATTAATGATATAACAGAATAATTAAATTGTATGAACTAAAGCTTTATTCATAATCATATTCTTTGCTATAAAACACTTAATAAGTATTATATATTTGTTGTTTATAATAAATAACATAAAAATAATTTCCTATCTCTACATAGTATATGTATTTGATATAACATCTAATGATAAATTTATTGATTACTTTAAATCCAAACAATTAAGTAATGTTATAGAAATCAAACAATAGATAAGAAGTTAATAAAGTATAAGA